ATGGTCTTGGTGATCGTAAAGAACCCAGCAAAGCGAGTAGGTCCTTTGACGCTCACACAGTTTATTCCAACAAGGAACACTTTCATAAAAGTAGGAAAAGATCGAAATTGTGTGTAAAAAATGTTTGTAAAACAATTATATAGACATATTTTTCTGACTTGCATGTCATATTCTCTGTGTTCTTTCTTTCTATTCCCCTCCTTATATCCCATATGACTTAGGCTATGTCTCCATCTATATTTTCTGCCTAAAAGCAACTTCTGTAATGTTCTTCTTTACCTCATTTCTCAGTTTACAGTGAACTGTCTGTTGAAAGAACAAAAATTGAGAAATTGGATCCGGCAACCCTCCCTCAATTTCAGAATATATTCATTTATTCTCTATTTATTTATTCACTTATTCATTCCCTTAACATCTATTCATTTATTTAGGTATTGCGTTACTCATCTTGTATTTATTTATTTGATAATTAATTCGTTTATTTGCTTGTCAGAGTTTTTCTTTCGACATTTACCCCCCCCCCCCCCCCCCCCCCCCCCCGATAACGAAACTCTGGTCCCGCCCGGCTCCGCAGCATTATTTTGACGACGTTACTCACATACGACACAGATGCCCAATAATCGTACGGCGAGGATGGGCGGACCCGAGCAGGGGAAGAACGGAGTGAGTAGGTACTCCGGAATGATGATGGCCACGATGGCCGAGCCAGCGGTCAGGAAGAAGACGATGATCCAAAGCTTGAGGAAGGCGACCGCGGGACCGTAGGCATCGTGGAGGAAAGTCAGTTCCCCTGCAAGGTATTTTGAGTAAATACGTGAAGAGCATGAATCAACTGGCTCTTGCAGCTAGGGAAGGGTGTGGGGTTGCTATTAGTGGCGTATACCTACAGAGCTATGGACCCCTCCCGAATAAAACAAAATATGGGTAAACTACATTGGATGAAGTCATCGAAAGGATCATATGCTTGTACCTCTTTAGTAGCCCCTCCCTGATTGATTTTCACCCCCCCCTTTCACTAGCGTAGGTGAAAGGGGGCAATTCCCTTCCTGACAGATTTCCAAAAGTGAAAAAGAATTAGGGCAACTAGTTATGGCCTAGCAGCAGTTCGTAGGTTAGGTTAGAATAATAGGAATGCACGAAAAATAGCCACAAGCAATTTCCAATGATAATTCATATCGAGCAATACCCCCCCCCCCCCCCCATTGCAAACAAATTAGGGCATCAAAAATTCGTTTCTTACTAGTTATATGGATCACATTGTAACTTGAGATGTTTTGCCCCTCCAGAGGACAAGGCGTGGATACGCCACTGCCCCCCCCCTCTCTCTCCCCTTCTCTTTCTATCTCTCTTTCTCTCTCTCTCTCTTTCTCTCTTCCTCTCTCCCCCTTCTCTCTCTCTCTCTTTCTCTCTGTTTCTCTCTTCCTCTCTCCCCCTTCTCTCTCTCTCTCTCTCTCTCTCTCTTTCTCACTTCCTCTCTCTTTCTAGTTCTATCTCTGTTTGTATCTGTAGCGAAAAACTGAAAAAAATAATTTTAACAACCAGATGAGATACTAGTAATTATATTTCTCATCAGTCTGTCGAGAGCCAGAAGGGCTTTAACTCGAGAAGGGTTGTTGTTTTAGTGGTGGTGGTGTTGTAGTTGTTATGAAAGACTTGACGCTGTTCTGGCTTCTAAGTTTTTTTTTAATTCATTGTTTTTACAGAAGGGCTTTAACTCGAGAAGGGTTGTTGTTTTAGTGGTGGTGGTGTTGTAGTTGTTATGAAAGACTTGACGCTGTTCTGGCTTCTAAGTTTTTTTTGAATTCATTGTTTTTACAGCCTGTTACTAACGCTGATATTATTGATGTGGTTTTGAATTTTGATGAAAATAAAAGTCCAGGATACGATGAAATTCACCCTAAGGTATTGAAAAACTCGATTTATATAATTGTTACACCTTTGTGCAATATCTTAAACTTTTCCTTTGAACAAGGTATTTTCCCCGATGCTCTAAAAATTGCAAAGGTGAAACCTGTTTTTAAAAAAGGCAATAAGTCACTTTTAAATAATTATAGGCCGATATCTGTGTTATCTGTTTTTAGCAAAATATTTGAAAAGATTTTATGTGATCAATTGACACGTTTTATTAGTAAAAATAATATTCTGTATGAAAATCAATTTGCTTTTAGAAAAGGATACAGTACTTGCCATGCTCTTCTTGATTTTATTGATAAAGTTGCAAATGCTTTTGAACTTAATGAATTTTTAATTGGTGTATTTCTAGACTTATCCAAAGCTTTTGATTGTATTGATCATAATATTTTAATAAATAAGTTATGTTTTTATGGTATAAGAGGAATTCCTCTTCTTTTAATTAAAAATTATTTATCAAACCGAAAGCAATATGTTAGCTTTGGTAATTATTACTCTGATCACAGCACTATTTTAACTGGTGTGCCGCAAGGTTCTAATCTTGGCCCGCTCTTGTTTTTACTGTATATCAATGACTTGCCATCTGTAAGCAATATTTTATCTTCTATTTTATTTGCTGATGACACCACTCTGTTTTTATCTGGTAAAGATCCCGTAGAAATAAATATTCTATTGAATTCTGAAATTGTTAAAATACACAAGTGGTTCCTTGCCAATAAATTGTTGATTAATTTTGAAAAAACAAACTATGTAATGTTTAAAACAAGAAATAAATATGTAAATGAAGCTGCTATCAAGATTTGTATAAATAGTAAAGAAATTAAGCAAGTACACCAAGTTACTTTCTTAGGCGTCATTATTGATGAAAACTTAACGTGGAAGGACCACATTTATTATATTTCTAACAAGCTGTCAAAGGTCATTGGTGTTTTAAATAGACTCAAAGATATTTTACCATTACGCATACTTGTACAATTGTATAACTCTATGATTTTGCCTTATTTTAATTATTGTATTATTGTATGGGGCAACTGCGCTTCGTATCTGCTTCAAAAGCTATTTTTATTACAAAAAGAGCCGTCAGGGTTATAACAAACTCATATTATAGAGCACATACAGGTACATTGTTTTTTAAGCTGAAGTTTTTAAAACTTTATGATCTATATGATATAAGTATTGGAGCTTTTATGTTCTCTTACATGTACAATATAACTACTTTACCTGATTGTTTTAATAATTATTTTATTTTTAATAGAGATATAAATCAATACAGTACTAGAAATTCACACAAACTTTATGTTCCTTCATTTCGCTATAATTTGTCAAGAACAGTAATAAAATATAAAGGATCCATTATTTGGAATAACTTACCAGATTCTCTCAAAGCATGCCCAACATTGTCTAGTTTTAAGCGTAATTTTAAACACAAACAAATATCAAGTTACAATATACTTTTTTAGCTTTAGTTAATTCTGCCTGTCCTTGTATGTGTGTTTATATGTCTTAGTTAATGTAATGTCTATATTGTCAATATTTTGCTTTTAATTACTAAAGATTTTACTTTTGGGGTTGTAGAAAAAGGGGACCAGCCTAGATAGGTCAATGGCCTTTGCTGGTCCCTCACATCCCTACTCCACCCATTAATCAATTTTAGTGTTACTGTTGTTGTTTTATTTGTTCTTATTATATTTTATATATATCGCATTTTGTATAATTGTATTTTTAATGTTATAATGATGTTTTTATTGGATGTGAAATAAAATGAACTTGAACTTGAACTTGAACTTGAACTTGAAGTATTTACCTCCAGACTTTTTGATCATGACGGCCAGCTCGGCATAGACGAATCCCCCGCAGGTCTGGATAACACCACAAGCTACCCAGAAGATGAGGGCTAGCCCTACCGACCCACCGGTACCCCGCAGGATCCCCGCAGGCGAGATGAAGATGCCCGTGCCGATGACACTCCCGACCTAAAGGTCAGGGGTCAAATCAAGGTCAAAGGTTAGATGGGTCATGCATGTTGCACACGAGGCGTTATTTTGCTGACGTAGCACTGCGTCACCGACCGAAGCGATGTTTGATGCCCCATGGTCAGTATCTGTTCATTCTTCAGTTCATCAAACATTAAAATATAATACAAATCATTTCAAAGGTAAAATATAAGGTACATTCAATTAATTCACACACAATATGAACAATAAAGGGACCCTCATTAAAACATATTGAGGCTTGACAGGTTGATGGTCCCAAGAATTGGCAAGAAATTACATAAATATTCCGGCGAAAATGTAAAATAAAGTCAAGCGAAGGTGTTGGGGGTATTGAATTAGAGATTTAAAGTAAAAAAAAACAACTGATAACATGTAAATGTAATGTCGATATCGTACAAAAGGTAAATGCAAAATGAAAAAACATTGTGTTTAATTGTTAGCATAACCCTATAATGCCTTTACGGGATTTGAGCGCAGATAACAATATGACGCCTTGTGCATGCGTCGTGCGTAAATGATGTTGCGCCAAAGATATGCATCTAGAGGCGTTTGAGTTACACCATGGACCTACTAAGAAGCAAGTCCAAGGTTACACACGCTTTGTAAGTCCGGACAGGTTGCTGATCCGGTCATATCAGACCTTTTTCAGACATTTTGAATTTAAAAAGTTTGCATGGATCCTTGAAAACTTAGTCGATAACATAACAAAATGACAAGTGTGGCAAAGTGTATTATGTTTTACTTGATGCCTATTTTTCGTGATACCAAACGGCGCGGCAAAACGTGAAATGTTTTCCTTATGTTAATGTATTGAATGATAAAAAAGCGTTGGTTATAACTATGTTGCAGTTTTGTATACGGTTGGAGTTTGTTATCCGTTGATGGGGGGGGGGGGGTGTTCAAAGAGGAATGTCCTTGTCAAATTGTTAGAGGAAGTTGTCCAAGAGGTAGATTTTTTAAGGTGATTGTCCTTAGAGTAGTTGTCCGGAGTTGTGGTGATAGTCCGTAGGGTAATCATCCTGATACAAGATGATAATTTTATACTAATACTGTAGATATCTTGTTAACAGTCTGAACACAAGAAATATTGGGGCGTGGGTTAATTCAATTGAATTATTTCTTACCGTATGCCACACACAACCCCATAGACCAAGATGTCTTGGGATGGCGACTTTAGAATCGGTCGAATCGCCATCAGTTGAACCGCCAGAAGTTGAGTCGCCATCCTTTGGCTGTGGCGGATCGATAGACCTAAACAGCGACAAGAAAATATTTCTTTCTGACAATGATTGCGTTATTGAGGAATTAACTTTGACATATTTCTTATTTTACCATTATCATAAGGAAGTTCATCGTTGTTGTTGTGTTGTTTTTCACGAAATAAATTTTAAACCTTTGTATATAAGCAAGGAATGTTGTTGTTGTTGGAGCAAGTTAATAAAAAAAAGAGTATGTACAATCATGTTGGGTCCACGATACACAAGTTATACCAATGCTTGCCAAATATGTGATATTTCAACGCTTGAATCCAGAAGGGTAAAGCTTTGTCCGGATTTCGCTAGCTAAACGCCCAACATGTAGTACCTGGTTACCTCTTCGGAAAAGCAAACCCATTTCCTTACGCCATGCATCTAGATATCAACAGTTCAAGTGCAAAACCAATCGTTTCCGAAATAGTCCCATACCTTACTTTGTCGATCTTCTCAATAAAGCCAAGCCCAATTAATCAAAATAGATGAATTAATGTACTTTTAAAGATTTGTATTATACTCTTTTCACAGATGTTGAAGTTTCCTGATTTTACTCTCCATAAGATAATTAAAACACAATTCTGTTCCCTTACCCTTCAATAGCCACTTCATATCTGGAGGAAAAGGAATGTTAGAGTGCCAAAGTTGTTGTGTTTTTTTGTGTTTTTTTTAAATAATTTTTTTTATATCATTTTTCTAAGCAATAATACAAATACTTGCAATATCAAACGTCAGCAATGTTATGAAAAGAATACGTTCTTTTCTATTTTTTTTTTTAATGTACATGCATTTTTACAATTTCCTCTTTTACTTCTTTTCTTCATGTTTCTCCTCTCCGTTTTTCTGCCTTCATGTTATATTCTGTTTTCTTATTTTTGCTACCATAGCAATCTTACCATATTAACTATACATATTTCAATATTGACGAATCAATTGTAACTGTATTTTATGTTTGAAATATGCAATGAGTCTTTTAATTGTACATATGACTAATTCAGCCATTGCGTTACGACATATGTTTTTAATAAACCTTGAATTGATCGATTGATTGTTGGGTTAATGTTCAGTTTATAATATAATTAACATTATTACTTCAACGATTTGATTAACAGGACTGATCCATAAGCAAATTGTAAGTGACCTAGTAAAATATAGTACTAGTAAAATTAAAGGAGGAACAAGACGGAAATGGAATTGTGAGATTGCATTTTAGAGCCAGGGTATATTTAAGTAACGGTATCGGTAAACTGAGAAATATAATTGCATAGTTATCATTACTAATACATGTTTAATTTAGATTTCGAAGTGAACTGATTACTAATCACGCCTATCTATTCAGTCTTATAAGAAAATAAAACATACTTTGCAAAATATGAAGTAATATTTTTCAATGTAGAGACCGACAAAGCAAATTGGAGGGCGTATAAAGCAACTACCCCCATTATATGCATGCGATCAATCTGAATGGGTATAATACTGATTAATTTATAGATATACTATACTGATGAGCCTAACGTAAGATAAAGAACTTTGTAAATCGGATACTCACGTTCGAGAAGAAACAGACATCTGAAGGGTGAATTGTAGTATTAATCGTCGCAATCCCCCTGTTCTTAACCAACTGCACACAACTGTGTTGCTATTCTAACAGAAAAGCTAATGATTTTAGTTGTAATACACATTATTCGCATAAATCCCTTATCATACAAAAACTAGAGCGAAGTGACCGAACGAAACAATTGATTAGTTCCAGTTTGTGATTTTTGACACTTTTAAACGGATGTGGCAACGGAAACAAGCAGTGAAGTACAGTGGAGAGAAAGCCTACAACATATCGCAATGAATAATTTGGGGGGAACGGGGAGGGTATTACAAATTAAAAATTAAATGATTGATATAATAATATGAGGGCAATATTGAGTTATTAAGTTGGTATTGAGTTGAAGTAGAAGGAAAGGTGGAAAATTAGTCATTAAATAAGAATGGGGAACATGCGCACGGCGTATGACAAAATATGTGTAATTCCGTATATTAGGGACCCACTTTGCGACATTTTTAGTGTCCATGTTACATAAGGAACTCACACGTATTTGTGGCTCTGGGTAAAGACTTAAATAATGGAGTGAGATGGTAAAGTGATTTCCAAGCATAATATTTCATCCTCATACCTAGAATCACTTAACAATCATACTCAACTATTTAAATCTTTACTCAGAGCCACACATACGTGTAGGTTCCTTATGTAACAGGAACACCAATAATGTCCCAAAGTGGGTCACTAATTTTTGAATTATATACCCATGGGCCTATATCAAGAAGAATACGGAAGAACATGCTATGGGAACTCTTAAAGTTAAAAAGGGGTAGCTTTCTCAAAAAGAAAATAATGCTAATTAGTTGGAAACTACGAGGACATGCAGTGACTAAGAGAAGGGGGAAAAAGAGAAAAAAGAAAAAAAAGAAAAAGGATGTGGGGGTTTATTTAGTTCATGCATGCCTAGTACTTTAAGGCTCGAGAGATTCTACTAATTTGCATTAAGAAGAAAGGGGCACATTAATTTATTGATACATTCCCTGTATATAATTAAGTGGGCATACACCGTTTTATATACTATACCAGTGATTAGGTGTGCAACTGCCCCAATGTAACCCAGGAGCGAAGCCTTGGTCAAGGTAATTGTTCTAAACTTCGTAGGAAGTACTTCAGTGATATGATAAGCTTTAGTGTCAAGCTCAATCGAGAAGTTTAATCATGGTGTCATAAAAGTGCTCTTTAACATGGACAGTTCCATGGGCAGTTCTAGGACATTTTAATGGGGGGGGGGGGGGGGGGAGGGACAAGTGCGGCGCCAGGGTTTTTCGTCGGGGGCAGGGAGTAAACTACACATCGATATTTTGAGTCACCCAGTGTAACTTTAAGATCGCCTTTTGGGGCAAATCATGGGAGCCATTTCCCTCCTCCCCCCCCCCCCGAAACGCCGCCATTGACTTTATTATGACACCCCGACCAATACAAGTAATAGATACAATACCGATGGCGGGTCCAGGGCAGGCACGTAGTCACGGGGGGAGGGGCACGGGGGGACGTGCCCCCTCCCCCCAACAAACAAAAAATAAATAATAATAAATAAATAAATAAATAAAATAAAATAAATAAATTAATTAATTTTAAAAAATCCAAGATCGGTTGAACTTTTTTTAGACCCCCCCCCTTTTTTTTTTTTTACCTCGATCGATTACATGTAAAGTATGTGCCCCACCCCAAACATCATACTTTGGCTACGTGCCTGTTCCAGGGCTCTTTAAAAGCCAGAGTAACTGACCCCCGTAACTGACCTAGGCGTAAATATTCTAAAAAAGAATGAAACGCCGATAATACCAAACAACAACAACCCCACCCTGCCCCAGAACTATGAAATACGTTTCTGTGCCCTGTCCTGCGGGCGGCACAGTCATGTACCTACGCTATACTGCATCACAAAGTTCATTGACCCCGTAACCAAATACTGTGACGTAACTCCTGTGGCGAAGATGTCATTTGTTTCGTACTGCGTCCTAAGAAGGACCCGGCAAATCGTTATTAACGCTAGCCTACAAAGACATTTGGATTGTAAGTACAATTTTTTTAATGTTAGGATATTTATATAACGGACTGCAAGCTTTTTGTGGAGGCATATTCATTATTAGCTGAGTTTTTAATGTGAACTAAGAGGATACTTATCAGGAAAGTCACAGTACGTTGCCCCACATATTGAATATTATGTAGGGTAGTCGTTAAAGGTATTGTGGCGGACACGGTTCGCCACCTTGGCTTGACACGGAGTATTTGTCAGGATGCCCGTGTCTGGCCTGGCGCTCCCCGTCGTTCGTTTGGACAAAATATATGCCCGTAGCTTGATGGCTGGAGTTCTTTCACTGCTCACGTCACAGGGCGTATTAACAATCATGCATCCGTTGACTGCAATCGGTCACCCAAGTCGTTGTGCACAGCAACAGTCAATTGAACATCCTTCGAGCAATCAATCACCAATCAGTCACCATGCTTTGTCAACTCCTGTCACTGATTCTCGATCTCGATTATCTAACTACGGTTTCACTGTCTAAGAAATCAGGCCAGTCATGAGTTGCATGTTAAATTCCTTTAATGCGAACCAACCAACATTCAGGGTAAACTCGAACAACACAAGAACAAGTGTAGACTAGATGTAAGACTCAACTAAAGACTAAGACCAGCGCCAACTATAAGTCCAGCCTCGGTGAGGCTGGCCTGTATCGGATACAGTGCAGTGGAAAGTCCTAATGACACAATCCTGCCCCGTACTAATAATTTCCCTATAAATAACCGTATAAAAGAACAATTATGTCCTCGTTAGTAAAACAACACTTCAACCCAACATTTCTGCTAATCCCATAAAATCTTCACATATAATCTTCAGTATAACCCCTTATTCCTGATTAGATAACTACTATACAAACAATATCCCCAAAAGAAACATGATAATTGCACCAACATGATTGTTATATGTAATTTATGCTCATTTTCCTTCAGTTTGGTAATTGCTAAATCAACGATGTACCATATTGCTAAAGCGCATGCGCGTACAACAGAAAATGCTTAACCCTGATTTGTTACAGTATTGCAAAGTTTTGGGAAATTTTGAAAAATAAGTTGATAGTGATTCTTTACAATTTGATATATTTGGATGCCCCTGTGGATGTATTAAAAACACTAGAATCTTTAGCCTCTGAAACACTTCTGCTTTCGAGAAAAGTTGAATATAAAGATTTACCGGTGCTCCCGGTAAAAATGTTATTAAATTTCAAATAGCTTCTACGGCCGTACAATGGTAGCTGCGACCATGAAAATCTCAGAATATGTAGTTGTGATATATAATTTTGGAACGGGAATAGTTATTCGGTCAATTTTAGTCAAGAAACATTGTTTTATAGCTCAATTAATATACTGACCTTGAGAGGGAGCTATAGGCCTACAACATAAAGAGTTTATTATTTACAATTTCATAATTTTAGAGTCGATTTCGACCGCGACAATGAACAATGAATATTGTAGGATCTCATATGCTTCCAATATGTTCATTTAAACCAAATTCATGATCCCATACCAAAACTTTGTATTACCTTTAAGAAAGTTTAACAAAGCTGAAGGGTAATGTGGAGGTGGAAATGGATCGGTTCTGGTGTGAAACGTGCAAGTTAAAAGTAAAAACCTGTGGTCGAAATGTATATCGACCTTTAAGAGCTCGATTCGCATTAGATTAGGAAAAGATATTTGATCTATTGCATGTACAATGTAGACCCTATAATTTAATATAATTCAATGGTGAATACTGAATGGGGTTAATATAATTAAGTAATTTATATTTCATTTGTATCTTTAAAACTCCACTATCCAAATTGATCTAGATAGACCCAGCATATTATTGAGTTGTCAGCAAATTTCTGCCGAAGTTATTTCTCTTATCCATCTATTCATCCAATCTTTAAACAGTAGGCCTATAATTATTTTTAATGTGCACAAGATATATTTTGTGTTAACCTCGTTTCCTTTGAATAAAAAGATCATCCACAAAGAGACCACCTAAAGTGCACATGGAATGCCTCTCAACTCGTCACAAGGCACCAACACACACAGGCACTCTCGTCATTAGACGATGGGGGCAGCAGGGGTCCGCTCGATCGTTATAACAGCCTGATTGAACGTGGAGCATTGAAAAACGATGATCACCAGAGGGAGGTGGTAACCCGGTTACAACAACTGCATGATACTGTTAGTGGCTACCAGCCAGAAGAGCTTGGGTTCTTTGAGAAGGTAAGCTTATGGACATGTATCTAAATGGATCAGCAGAAGAAAAAAAACATAAATTGGATTGTTGAGCAATTTAACACTCGAAAGCTGATGGCAGCACTTCGCTGTCCACGTTTTTAACAGCACATCATTGTATATGTATATATCTTGCACCTAGATTGATTCCTACACACGTATTGAACATGGCACACACCACTCTGCAGTGCGTAATCTTTGTTGCATGAATTAGCATTTAACGAGGAAGAAGAAGAAGAAGGAGCTCTGGGTTTTTTATGCCTCCGCCACCGAAGGTGGTGCCGGAGGCATCATGTTTTCGGGTTGTCCGTCCGTACGTCCGTCCGTACGTCCGTCCCGTTTGACCGTTATCACAATATCTCAAGAACCATTTAAGATTTAAACTTAAGACTCGGGAATAGTATTTATCACCATAGGAAGACGATCTGATTAGATTTTGGAGTACGTAGGTCAAAGGTCACAGGTCACAGAGGTCAACTTATGAAATTCCTTGTATTGAGTTTGTTAGCGCGATATCTCAAGAACCATTTGAGATTTAAACTTCAAACTTAAGGATAGTATGTATCACCATAGGAAGACGATCTGATTAGATTTTGGAGCACGTAGGTCAAAGGTCAAGGGTCACAGAGGTCAACTTATGAAATTCCATACATTGAGATTGTTATCATAATATCTCAAGAACCACTGGAGATTTAAACTTCAAACTTAATGATAGTGTGTATCACCATAGGAAGACAATCTGATTAGATTTTGGAGCACGTAGGTCAAAGGTCAAGGGTCACAGAGGTCAACTTATGAAATTCCATACATTGAGATCGTTATTGCGATATCTCAAGAACCACGGGAGAATTTTCACTTCAAACTTAATGATAGTATGTATCACCATATCATAATATCTCAAGAACCACTGGAGATTTAAACTTCAAACTTAATGATAGTGTGTATCACCATAGGAAGACAATCTGATTAGATTTTGGAGCACGTAGGTCAAAGGTCAAGGGTCACAGAGGTCAACTTATGAAATTCCATACATTGAGATTGTTATCATGATATCTCAAGAACCACTGGAGATTTAAACTCCAAACTTGTTTAAATTGCTCTATGGCGGAGGCATCATTTTCGACTGTGCGCAGTCAAAATTCCATCTAGTTTAAAAACTGAAATACACAAGAATTGTCATGAGGAAATCTCAAATTAACTTAGAGTACATGTATTATATCTAAAAGGGCTCGTGTAAGCAAATCAGGTTTAATAGGGTCAATGAATACATGTAGGTGTTAAATGCTGGATCGTAAGCAAGAACTACAAAATTTTCATTACATTTATTTTGTTAGCCCATAAGTTATCTTTTTATAAGCCCATAAGTTACCTTTTTATAAGGTACGAATTTAGAACAGGAACTTAAAGAATGCTTAACATGAATTTGAAGAAACAAATGGAAGAGGTGAAATGAGGGATCTATATATGCCACTGACATGATTGATTTTATCAAATGAACATTGAACCCATTGACTACTGACTAAATCTCATCACCCTATTTAGCTACAGCGACCACCCAGTTTCAGAAGAGAACATGTTGATTTAAATTTATCCCATTTCAATATATAATATTATTTAATATATATTTTTCCATTGGGTTTACAAACTACTAAACATACCCCACAACATTAAATAGTTTGTTTTAGCAACAGATAAAAACCATATGAAATAGGCCTAATTTAAAACACATTTTTATCATTGAGATATATCTTATGTGAACCCAATCACCCTTCAACAAGGATTTCTTTCATTACCTTGACCTGTTTTGCTACACTTACTGCAAGTTATTTATAAATACTTATTACAGTTGTGTATTCTGAAAACTTCCTTGTTATTCATGTTTTGTCTTTCCTTGTTTCCAGGAACCCAAAGACCTCTTCATTCCTCACAGCTCCTAGCGAAGAGTTATAAACCTGACCTAAAGTCTGTACCTGTATGGCAGTGTAGGAACAGGAAAGACCATGCTGATAGACCTTTTCTATTGATTTCATGTCCTTATGTTGAAAAGAACCTTAAACAGCAATACTGTTTACCTCTCATTTCACACAGGTCCTAGGGAAGAGGCCTAGACCAGCGCCCGCAGGTCTGTACCTGTATGGCAGTGTAGGAACGGGGAAGACCATGCTGATGGACTTGTTCTATGAAGACGTGGCTGTAGCTCAGAAGTTGAGGATCCATTTCAATTCATTCATGTTGGATGTTCATAAAAGTAAGTGGCATAATATAGTATTAATGACTGCTTTGAGAGAAATAGTTGTTTTTATACGCTCAAGGGAAGGTTAGAATTGTGCTATTACCCGAGGCGTGAAAAAAATAGTTTGCTTTTTTCAAATAGGAATAATTATACAGGAAAGGGCCATGTTTTCACAGCGTTTCTCAAAGATGTAAAAAATGATGCTCTTTGTATCAGATTAGCTTTGTAGTCAAAATTTGGCCAATAAAGACTGCTACTACTACTATTAAGTAATCTGTTCTGCTCTGAATGCGAATGTACTTCTTTTCCACAAAGATAGAGTATTTTTTTTTAATCGTCTGCTCAAGAAGCCCCCAAAATGGTTGTTTAGAACCCATTTTCAACTGTGTTCATAGATACACCTTTGAATATACAGTGACACAACAGGGTTTGAATAATTTGTCACGTAATGAATGTAAAATTCTAATGACGTCCTCTGTCTCGACTACCTCATTAAATCTGTTCAAAAATTGAGATAGTGATGGGCCGCTGCTGTGTTTATTACACATGTGAATCATTAAAAAAGTGTAATATCCGGCAGTCTGGTACTTATTCAGTTTTACGATTCGCTACTAAATCATTTTTATGGTTTTAACCATAGATTTGAAATTGGGACTGACAGTATGTTACTGTTTGTTTTATTGCAAGTTTACATTCACGTGCTGCTTTAATAACAGATAAAATATAAAGTGATTTCAGACCCTTTATTGCTTGTTTACAGTGTTAGCCCTTAAACAAATTATAGGTTTAGCCTTGCAATATCAAATGCATCCATTTTATTGAGTAGATTTATGGAACCCACTAAACTAAATATAACAGTATTCTGCTCACAATGAGACATTTAAAGTAGCAGAATAAGAGAATTCAGAAGTAAAAACGCATCAATCACATGTAACAAACACATGTATTCCATTGTTCATAATAGTAATAATAACAATACCAGTTTCTTATATATATTATTCGTTCGTTCGTTCGTGTCTCCTTAGATCAAGATAGTAATGTAAAGTTCCTTAACTTAGAAGTAAATTAAATTAAATTAAGTTCTTCCATCGCTCGATTGCTGCAATGGCCGTTTCATTAACAAGGGACAGGTCTTCATCTGTGCAACCCGTTCCGCCGCACTGCAAGAGGTGGTCCATCGTCTGAGTCTCTCCGCAGTCGCAGAGAGTATCTCCTTCATGGGCATAGCCCCATCTTGCCATATTGACCTTACACCGTCCCATTCTCGTCCGCATTCGATTTAGGCATTGCCACTCCGGCCACTTCAGGTTAAGACCTTTGATGAGTACGGGCTTGACTGATGGTGGAGGATTCTGTTCAGGTGGTGGGACAGAATCGAGGAAGCTGTGTCGGGATATAAGTCGTTTGTGGGGTTGTAAGTATCCGTGTAGCATGTGTCTGTCATCTGTCGCCTGCTTCATCCGTTCCTTTAGGCAGGTGTTAGTGCGCCTTTGGTTAGGAGATCCAATGCCAGCGAGGTGATATATCTCCTCAACTTTTGTTGGTTTCAGACATCCTGTTATCTTTCGATATGTGTTATTGAGTGTGGTGTCAAGCTTCTTCACATGGGCTGATCTGCTCCAAACTGGGCAAGCATATTCTGCGGATGACATGCATAGAGCAACAGCTGCACTTTGTACAGTTTTGGGGTCAGCGCCATAGTGTGAAGATACTAGCTTCCCGATGATGGCATTTCGAGATTCTACTTTGCCTATTGTCTTCTCGATATGTTTCTTGAAGGATAAAGTGCGGTCAAGTTTTACACCTAAATACACTGGATGCTCGCAGTGGTTAAGTTGCACATTGTTCCACTTTAGCTTCAGTTCTCTCTTTGCCTCCCTGTTCTTCAAGTGGAAAACACACACCTGAGTCTTGGATGGGTTTGCCCGTAGGTAGTTTGCTCTGTAGTACTCCGAAAGGCTTGCGAGCGCTGTGTTGAGATGGAGTTCAACAGCTTCGAAGGTACTATGCTGGGCTGTGATGCAGGTGTCATCTGCATAGATGAAGTTTCGAGTGTTCTCTGTTGAAGGGATGTCAGCAGTGTATATGTTGTAGAGTGTTGGCGCCAGGACGCCACCCTGGGGGAGACCGTTTTTCTGTTTCCGCCATCTGCTCTTCTGCCCATCCAGTTCGACAAAGAAGCGTCTGTTCTGCATCATCTTCTGAATGAATCTGGTGAGTTTGAGGTCATTTGTGATGTCATGAAGTTTTGTCTGTAGCCTTCGGTGATTGACAGTGTCATAAGCCGCAGATAAATCCACAAATACTGCACCTGTGATGAGGTTGTTCTGAAAACTGTCTTCGATGTGTTGGGTCAGGTTGAGAAGTTGTCCCGTGGTGGATTTTCCTGGTCGGAAACCTGCCTGCTCACAGTTCAGTTGGATATTATTAACTGACCAAAACGCTCTAAGTACTATTATTATCCCGGTCACTGGTATACATGTACTACATGTGTTATTATGCACATTATAGAACACGTTCTCCATTTCCTGTTGAGCATTTTGGTACGCACCTTCTAATCCAATTAACTTGTAGGTGGGGAGGAGCAATGTAGGTACAATGCCTTGCTCAATGACATAAGTCCCATGCCTTAGCTCAAATTCATGACCTTTGGATTTCCAGTCAGAATAGTAGATGAATCCAGTGACTGGGATAACTGTACCGTGTTAATGGTAAAGCGCTTAATAACAAACAGCAATCAATCAAGAATGAATATTCTCCTTTTTTTTGTCAGGAATTCATGAGATCAAGAAACAGATGCCTAAGGATAGGGACAGCACCAAACCTCAGGCATTCGATCCCATCTCACCAGTAGCTGAGGAGATCAGCAAAGAGACATGGATGCTGTGCTTTGATGAGTTCCAGGTGAGAGAAGGGGTACCAATTTCTTTTGGTCAGGGCAGCAACACAGATTGTCATATTGCCTGTTTCCACACTGTAAATGTGTTCCAGTTGACTGATAGTAAATATTCAACAACAAAAACTTTTATTCAAAAAACCTTTCTAGAACAAACTGTAATATAATGAATTGGTATAAAAATGATAACCCTGGTAACCGCACCCAACAACTACTCCTTTAAATTTACTCTAAATACCCTGAAACAACTGCCTGTGAGATGATTTTGTTAGGTGGTATTTGTCTAGAGCAGAGGGAAAGGGGGGGGGGGTAGTCCTAGGGGTAGTTGACCACTATTACTCCACCCTGGACAGCTGTCAACGTAGCTTTTTGGGTGCAACAAATTCAAGATTCAAGATTCAAGAAAGGAATGGTGTTACTTGCATCTAATCAATAAGTAATCATAGAAGTGTTTTTACATGTATGCAAGAAATGTTGGCGCACTACTTTTGGATATCCCAGTATGTCTATTTCACATCGGTTTATATCCTTTGACAAAATTTGTGCAAAATTGAAAGGACTTTCATTTACATGACATAGAGCAGTTGTTTATTTTTCTCAACTCTCTAAGTTTTAATGACTTTTTAAGTATACTTTTAAAAATGTGCACATCTGCATTAGAAAAGCAATCAAAGTCCCTAATGGAATATAAGGTATGACATCATCTTGTTCTTTTTTTTTAAATTGTTGTTTTGTTGCTACCACAGAATATTTCAGTAATTGCAATAAAATTTTCTTTCTCTTTCTGTATCTCATTCTTGAAGGTGACCGACATAGCTGACGCAATGATACTCAAGCGTCTCTTCATACAGCTCTTCAATAACGGTGTGGTTGTCGTGGCAACATCCAACAGGCATCCGGACGACCTCTACAAGAATGGTCTTCAACGAAGCAACTTTGTCCCTTTCATACCGATATTAAAGGTAAGGTATTACAGTATTTTTTTTTTTGAAATATATTTTTATGCCTCCGTTACGAAGTAGCCGGAGGCATTATGTTTTCGGGTTGTACGTCCGTCCGTACGTCCCGTTCTCGTGATCGCGTTATCTCAAGAACCAACTGATGGATTCCTACCAAACTTTGGTCATGTATGTAACTTGCAGAGCCAACGAACTGAATAGATTTTGGGGTCACAAGGTCAAAGGTCAAAGGTCACAGGGCTCATTATGTATGCAAAAATAGCTTGTGATCGCGTTATCTCAAGAACCGATTGATGGATTCCTGCCAAACTTAGGTTATGTATGTATCTTGCAGAGCCAATGAATTGATTAGATTTTGGGGTCAAGGTCAAAGGTCATGGGGCTCATTATGTATGCAAAAATAGCTTGTGATTGCATTATCATTAGAACCGATGGATGGATTACCATCAAACTCTAGACATGCATATATATGTAATTTGCATTTGAGGTCATGAGTTCAAAGATCAAAGAGTCATATGAGAAATAGCTTGTATAATCACAATATTCGGAGAACCTGTTATGGATTACAACCAAACTTGAATTTGAAATATTTCTTCCGTTTTGGCATCACTTTCGACTGCGCGCAGTCGAAGTTCCATCTAGTTCTCTTTTAGTCGGAAGTGTATGTGTATGAGGGGGGAGGGGGGGGGGGGGGCTAAACCAATGTTCTTGTAAAGTCACCTTATATTTGGGCGAGAAAATCGCTTTGTATAAAGCTATATCTTATTTAGTATATTCTGATGACAAAATGATATATAATTTATGTCATAAAGTGTAGCATAGAAAGTTGGGATGCAGGCAAGAAACAACAGCCCCCCTCCCCCTCCCCCCTCTTTCTCGTGAAATTGTATCATTAGGCCTATACTAGTGGCACATTGATGCTGGCACAATGTATTAATGCTCTTGCAGTAGTTCTGTCTGTGTTTAAATGCAATGCCTGTCCCATTTGCAAAATAAATTCTGACTATTCTGTTTAACTATTCTGTTTGACTATTCTGTTTGACTATTCTGTTTGACTCTTCTGTTTGACTATTCTGTTTGACTATTATAATTTTGAAATACATGGGGAAAAACCATACCAAATTTGATGAGAAACAGCATTGTATGGGATAGTGAGAGTGGTATTGAATACATCTGCTTCTGATTTATATGTAGTTATATTTGTCTTCTAAGGCATATTTGAATTTTGTTTACAGATATAATTGGGTATCATTTTAATGAGCATAGCAAGTTCTGGAGTAGCTGTATTGGCATGATAGATAGTGGGTTTATAATTATGGTTTTTCTTTTCTTGTTCTTATAGAATCACTGTGATGTTTTAAATCTAGACTCTGGAATAGACTACAGAAAATTATCTGGTAAGTCCTCGTCTTCCCGTGATTTGATAAAAAGCAGGTAGACATATGTAAAGTCCTTGTTAGGTAGCGAGTTGGTTCAGTCAGTTTAACTTCTGCCTGTTGAACCAAAGATCGTAGGTTTGAATCTAACCCAGGCGGATGACTGAATCCTGCGTTGTGTGTTAATGTGCCCCTCCCCTGTTTCATAGATGCAGGCTATGTAACAGTGGAAACACTCCGTCCCTCGGATAGGATGGTAAATGGAGGCCCTGTGTAGAGAAGAGTCACCTCCTTTGCACATTCGGTACCCACTGCACTATTGATATAAGAGTAGGGGGAATCCCCGTTGTAATGGTCCACCTGCACACCTACAATCAGTTATACCAGGAGGAGGGGAGGGGGACACCATTGCATTATGATGTTTGCATAGAGTAATGAAGCTTATCTCAGAGCATGCATTTGAATACATTTAAAGGATAAAAATAAAAAGATAGTTACAAAAATAAAAATGGTTATAGAATTGGCATTTATTGAGGTCTTTTTGTAGAAAACTTTCATTAGTGTATTTCTCTCTTTCTCTCCTTCTCTTTTTCCTTCTCTCTCTCTCTCTCTCTCTCTCTCTCTCTTTGTCTCCCTCTCTCTCTCTCCTCTCTCTCCCTCTTTCTCTCTCTCCATCTCTCTCTCTCTCTCTCTCTCTTTCCCTCCCCCTCTTTCTCCCTCTCTCCCTCTGTCTCTCTCTCTCTCTCTCCCTCTCTCTCCTTCTCTCTCTCCCCTTCTCTCCATCTCTCTCTATCTCTCTCTCTCTCTCTCCCCCCTCTCTCTCCATCTCTCTCTATCTCTCTCCCTCTCTCCCTCTCTCTCTCTCTCTCTCTAGGTCTTCCTGTGGATGGTCAGGTATACCTCAACCAATCAGAGTGCGATGCAGCCAATATATGTGAACAATTGTTTGCAAAGATGTGCACTAAACAAGGGAAAGGTAAACTTAATTTGGTTTGAGTTTGTGTCTTTTGTCTTGTCAAAATTGTCTAGCTCCCTGTCTGATTTTCTATCATCATCATCATCATCAATTACAATGTCTGTTACAGACATCAGCAATCATAACCCTCCATTTCTGTCTATTATCTCCTATTCTTAAAAGCTGGTATTGCTGAATTCACTTTTGGTTGTCCATTTGTCCAGGCTTTGCAAATATGTGAGTCATTGCGTTCCCCTCCTTCTCTTTACAGCAATCTTCCCTGTTAATGTTTTTTCCAAGATTATCCTTTCTGTATAATTATGTGAGCAACAAATTGAAATAATTTGCCTCTTTCTTATTATGTTGATGAATGATGGTTTTCCTCTGGCTTTCTTAACACTTCTTCATGTGTTATCTTTTCTGTCCATGATATATTCAAGGTTCAAGATTTATTTTATTCAATATTCGCAACCTTCATGGTTGAATTGTTACTGAATTTACATATTTAAAAAACATTTCAAAGCTACAAACAGATGGTACAAAAATATATCCTAGTAAAATACAATGACCGAAAAAAGTGTACAAAAATTGCAAATCTAAAATAACGTTAGAAGTTAACCTAGAAATGGGAAACCATTTAAATATCATTGAAATGGAAACCAGTTGAAAGTAATTTAGAAAATCCAAAATCAAAGAAATATATTCATAATCTTTCTCAAGAACCAGGTCTCTGTAGCCACAAATCTTCTTTCAAGCTCTTTGTTTATTGTCCAACACTTGCACCCGTAGAGATGAACCAAGTTCACTAACTTGATATGTGACTTGAATACACAGGTTTTTATTTCATAGTTGTGGCTGCAGCGAGGTCGATAACAAATCAAAAGTCTGAACAAAGGCTTCTACGGGAATTCATAGCTTTAATTGGAGTAATCATTTTGTTCCAATTCATTCCTTGAAAACTGTGGATAAATCACAGATAAAGAATCATAAATACAAGTACATCATAGCATCAGCAATATAGCAATAACACAGTCTCTTTGAGAAACTCATAAAATAATGTACATTTTGTCATGATCTTTATAACCTATTAAAGTAAACCCAAGTTCCTATTCTAGTCCATCTGCATTATGGCTTTACATAAATACAAACTCACAATACAAGTGCCACAACTAGACTTCACTATAGCTTGTTTAAACAATTAACTAGACAATAATAAATTCCAAATCTCTACTTAGTGCTTCAGCACTCTCATAATATATCTTCAAATTATTAGCAGTATCTTTACTGTCATTGTTAAAGTAAAATGTACATACATGATATTAACATGGGCTTGTATGTCTTACATTACATTACATCAACATCTCTCAGTGTGAATTTCAAAACACACACACTAATTTACACTTTATGTTTCGACAATTCATAGAAATACATTCAATATATAACAAAACTAACCTCTTTGCCTGACATAATGACAACCTTATGACTGAAATCTCCTTGATGCTCTGGCAAAAAGGGGATTCTTGGACCTCAACACAACCATGTTAATGTAGCCTTCTGAGTGTTTGATATCAAGTGAATATCAATAGATGGTGCTATATTAGGCACCTTGCCTGAGGAAGTGATATTACAAATATATAAGTATTCATGTCATGCATCAATAGTACAAGAAACAAATGACTTGGGTGATAAAGTAATTTCAAGTGCAACTGTCACAACAATATGATGTTCTTATTTTTCATTAATAATTTCATCAACATGCTGATATATTTGCCTCTATCCATCCATGACAGAAGTGACAGAGAGGACATTGAGAATACTTGGCCGAGATGTGAGGATACCAAGGGCATGTGGAAGGATAGCTAGCTTTACTTTTGATGATCTTTGTTTGAAGGTTAGTGATGATGGTGAATCTTAAGGATTGTTCAGATATGGTGCAATAAATAGCCCCCTCCCCCCCCCAAAAAAAAATAGATAAATAAATTTTTAAAAACTAGCTAAAAATTATTGCCCTTTTTTTTCTCCACGTAAAATGAATGGCCACTGCGCGCAACAAAGATCGTGCGTGTATTCACTGGGCTCTGCATTATAAGATACAGAAAATGTGAAGTGTAATAGACTTTACATCATCATTTAAAAAACTGCTGTGATTTTGCTGCATCACACCTGAACGTGTCTTTGGTTTATTGAACACTAAAAGCTTTTTGTTGCAATGCTTAGCTATGTTTCACTAGAACCTATTTGTTATCCTCTTCTACTCACAGTAGATGATATAATATTATATAACAACACATTTCGCTTTCTTCAAATTTCTTATGAAGTAGGTTTTATTTTTTTAAATCTAAAAAGCATAATGACATAGCATTGTTCTATGCATGCTTTTTCTATTACATTATGAGTGAAAAGGGGATGTCTTTCTTCTTTAGTGTCAAAGAGAAGTTTATAACCTAGTGGTTGTCAAGTTCATAGTGTTTTCTTATTCTAAACTGTTGATAATTTTCTTGAATTCATTCTGAAGATATATGTCTAATAAAGATGAATTAGAGGTGACTGTTATCAGTGGACATCTCACTCATACATGCTTAATATCAATTTTATAAGATGAAGTTGAGTTCTGGTCATGCGATTGCATTGTGAAAGAAACGGTGTGGAATCGACCAGAAAAGGTTGATCATCTAGCACACGCCTTCTCAACTGGCGGCGCGCGCGCCACTTGTGGCGCTTGCAGTCAGTCAGAGTGGCACGCGGCTGTTCCAATATATATATATATATATATATATATATATATATACATGTATATATAAAAAAACTAAAATTTAAGTAAGAAAAATTAAAAAATTATGTTTTTAAATAATAAAACTCAGCAAAATCAAAAAGTCGCAATCGAAGTTGAGCCCAAAATTTAAGCAAGCCATTTTGTTTGTTTGATTTTCACTTCATTTTGACATTTTCCGTGTTTATTGCACCAAAATAACTACATTATAAATTAACTTCCAGTGTAGATTTTAGCCAGGAATTTTATTAATTATTTCACATCAATTTTTATGGAACAAAAAGGTGTTAAAAATGCCACATCTGGGCCTTAAAAAAAGCCCTAAAATCCACTAGCTTCCGGGAGCTTAGCCCCCTGGACCCCACCCGGTATCGGCTCGGTCTCTACGCTCCCTCGCAACACAGTCACCAAACATACAGGTTGGCACTTCAACCTCAATAAATTTTTGTTTTGGCGCTTCTAATAAACTAGTTGAGAAGGCCTGATCTAGCATATAAGAATTTGTGTGTATTGCAAGGTTCTGGAATCATCAAAATGATAAGAAATTTGGCCAAGTCTTGTTAAAGTTACAAACACTGTACACAGAAAGATGTATATGGGACTACACAAACACGTGGCGTAAAAATCCTACCCCCGAGTTTTACGATATTACATGACATATTTAGAATATAAAGGCATTTGAAGAGTCATGCTTTTAAGGGAACATGTCTTATCTGATGTTCTTCCACACTTGCATAATAAGAATGATAATGCTCACAATTTATTTTTCACCTCTTCCCAGAACTCAACCTTCTCTTTAACATACATTCAGATAAATCATTAGCATAAATGTTACTTTTATGAAGGTAATATATATCCTGTCAATTCATGTATGTATTGTATTACAGGCATTGGGAGCTGGGGACTACCTTGCCATTGGTCATAACTTTGATATAGTGTTTGTACACAACATACCTCAGATGTCACTCAGATCAAAGTCAGCAGCCAGACGATTCATCACGATGATTGATAACTTCTATGATTTAAAGGTCAGTTGGATGTATCCTTCTTCATTTCAATTTGAGTTTACTCTTATGCCATTTTACATATTCTCTGCATCTGTCTTTCTCTAAGGCTAGCCTTCATTCTCTCTTTCTCTCTCTCTCTTTCTCTCTCTCTCTCTCTCTCTCTCTCTCTCCCCCTCTCTCTGTCAACCTCAGACACTTAAACATTAAAAACTCCCATTGTGCATTGCGCCATCTGTTGTTATAATTTGTTCAGTCTGATATTAATAGTAGTACCATAAGCTTTTATTGAAATTTACATTCTACATACATACATGTATCAATGAAAAGTTATTTTTGCTAAGAATGAAGCTGTCCCAGATATCTTTTGAAGTATTTACTACACAAGTTAAAGGTAATACCAAGTTTTGGTATTGGGTCATGAGTTTGGTTGAAATAAACATATTCAGAAGCATTTGCGATTTTAAAATATTCAATGATCGTTGTGGTGGTTAAAATTGAGTCTAAAGTGATGAAATTGTAAATAATAAACTCTTTATGTTGTATAGCTCCCTCTCAAGGCTGATAATACTTTAGCTTTAGAGAAAAAGTAACCAAAGTGTCAATGATCATGGCCTTAAAAGTGTATGTTTATACATGTTTTATAATAATAATAATAATAATAATATGACTTGTTTACCCAGAGTAGCTTCATCAGTATTAAATACGTTCTTCCTGAGGGCCCTACAATCATATCATTACCCCCCCCCCCCCCCCCCAGCTATAGCCAATCTTCCAAGATAAGGTGCTCAATCCAATCCAATCCAATCCAAAAGATATTTGATATAGCACCTTTTCCTTGCAGTTACAAGGCATTCAAAGAATGTTTTCCTACTGGGTACCTATTTAATACTAGGTGGAGAGTGGCAAATGAAGATTAATCTTTTGCCAAGGACATTTGTGCCAAAGCGGGACTCGAACCACAAACCATGTGATTCATTGTCATGTGATGTCTCCACTTGACCTGGGGCCCGTTTCACAAAGCCTTTTTTCAATGACAAATGACAAAAATCAGTGACAAATCTGCTGATAACCAATCAGAAGCAAGGATTTCAGTAGCTTATAACAAAAACTGTCATTTGTCACTGATGACAAGTTTTGTGAAACGTCCCCCCAGGACACCTCCATGAGTATGACACTGTATTAGTCTTGATCTCTATGTATATCATAGGTTAGACTGATCTGCAGTGCTGAGGTACCGGTGGAAGATCTCTTTGTAACGGGTGCCATGACACAAAAAGATATGGAAGACAACTTCATGCTCATGGACGACCTCAACATACAGAGGGTGAGTTTAGTTCCAAGTTAGACCTTGTAACCAGGACTAAGTGATTTTAGTGAGTGGGAGACTTGGTCCTGGATGCCATAGATCTTTAAACTTTAAGCCAAGACCAGTATTTGTGTTGTGAATGAGTAGAAGCCAATATCATATTCACAAACTTACAGTAAGACCTGTCTGTGGCTTAGATGGAGAAACCTATGTTTTTTGTTTTCTGTACTCTGTGCGGGATGAACATTGAATGTAACTCATTGCCATCATGTTTTAACCATGACATGAATGTTCAACATAAGTTGTATATACCCCATCCTAAGAGTATAACCTTAAAAAAGGGACATTTTGATTTGAAAAGAAATGGCTCCCACGATTTATGCCACAATCTATATTGTAAGAATACATCAGTTACCAATAGAACACTTTGCGTAGAATGCATGTACAATTCCAATGTTTAAGCGGATAAGGGTTTTGCTGCGTTTGGTTATTGCATGTGCATTATTTTAAAAACAAATTTTATTTCTTTTTTTTTCTCTCTCTCTCTCTCTCACCCTCTGTCGATGCTACAGGGGTCCGAGCTCTCTCAAGCAAGCATCTTCACCGGAGAGGAGGAGCTCTTCGCCTTCCAGAGGACCATCTCACGCCTCACCGAGATGCAGACGGAGGATTACTGGAGCATCTCGGAGGAGGAGAAACAGGAGAAACTCAAGAGGAGAAAGAAAACAAAAGAAGAAGAGAAGAAGGCCTTATGACGATAACAAGGCTATGAGATTTTATCTAGACATTTCTATTTTAATTACTTGATGGATTTATGAGATATTTTTAACCACCAAAGCTACTTAAACAGGCTGGACATTATAGGCTCATGAAAACCATCAGGGCATTTATTCTATGTAAACCAAAGGTGCTATAACACCCTTTTAATACAAGAACTCTAAATAAACCTGGCTTTTTGCAATACATCCACATACGTGATTTATGATTTAGTAGCCACTTTTAAACTCTTGGGCGGTATTCTAAGATTAATTTTTATCTCAGATAAAGTCCCAGTTTTTATCTCAATAAGATGAAATACTGTTACAGTTTTTCAATTGAACTAAGTATTATAAAAACTGTTTTATCTTAATCTCATCTCACTAAAACATGCCCATTTGTGATGCGCTAACCAACAAAAAAATGCTGTTAGATTTCACTCTCTTCATGTTCAACAAAAAGAGTCACGGTCTGCAGGTCTCTTGGGCAAGAGTGAAAATTCATAAATTTTTGCAATTTTTACTATGCGTGCCTGCCTCAAAGTGCAAATACTTTTTTGCTAAATTTTCTTCGAAAATGACTGAGGTAGTTTCAGAGGCTTTTCAAGTATGATAGTAGTCATCAAAACTCATTAAATATAACGTATTAACATTAATCATGTTGCATGAGACATGTAGTCTGCACTCAAATTTTTTTTTAAATGTTGTAACTAGCTGCATATTTTAAAACATATGTTATACTTACCATGCATCCTGGAGATAAAATAGCCCTTACCCTATTCTAACTTTTACGTTATCTTTCATGTAATACGTATGTTTTATCTTTCACATGAAATAAGATGGACATTAGCGTTTAAGTCGTGCATATCATGAGTATAGGCCTTACTGTAATGGGCACGCAAGAAGACATTAAGATAAAAAATGAAAGACAAAATCTGAGAAAACAGTGGTCTCAGAATACTGATTATATTATAAAGATAAAATAAAATATTTTAGAGGTAAAATAGGTCTCAGAATACCGCCCATGGATTTTCCTAAGCAGGAACATTATGAACACTTTTCAAACAAAGAACTGTCCAAATTTTTTACCCATTCTGTGATCTGAAATACCCCTCTGATGTTCCAGCCTCAGGAAATTTATTTTAAAAAGATTAATAACCTTTAATAAAACAATTTACAGTAAGCACTAGGCGCCTTAGATTGCAGAAAAAATGGCTTATATATTTTATATATTTCCTTGTGAAATATGACATTTCATCCCCTTCCGAACCCCACCCACTGTATACACTCTATGTATGGTTCTTCTATTAGATAGAGGATGCTAGTGTTTCGCAAGACCGCTCAATCGTAAAAATTGAAGTCCACTCTCTAATGGATAACACTCTATGCGGCTAAATAAAAAAATGGCGCACATTCTCTACGAGAACCCACAGTGCAGTGTCTTCGTCCCTAAAACTTTGACATGTTTTGTACAATAATAGCAAAAATAAGAATGATAATGATATTAATGACAAAGATTATAATCATAATGTTCATATTACATTCTTATTTATCTAGATTAACATCAGTATTGATAGTTTTCTTTGTGAGGTCCTGGCAACTATTATCACCCCAGCTTTATTTGTTATAATTGACCCTACCTGAATGTAAAAGCATTTCCACCCTTTGCAAATTGCTTTACGTGAGTTTACTTTACCCCTGTGAATCCAGGTCTAGACGGTTCACTTTTTATCAATATAAAATGTTTGAGACTATGATGTATGCAAAGGGCATTTTAATAAACCATCTGAAATCGTTTTGATTTTAATGTTTTTAAATGTATAATAATTGGCCTTACTGTTATGATGTTGATAAATGAATTTCAAAGAATCCCGCCCCCCCCCCCCTTCTCCCACTCAGTGTTATTTAGGGTACGTGTATGCATGTTCCCTCTTTTTGAAAGAACTCCCCTATCTCCGGTGTGAAAGTCAATGGCAAGTCGGTCTTGGTCACACAAAAAAGTACCCCTTTACCAGAGATTTTGGGAACACGTATGCGGTCCCTCCGACCCCGGAGTGGTTGGGGGGGGGGGGGGAAGAATATCTGCCATCCTGCCAAGAATTGTTATCGATGAGGCATCATATATATATATATGTATATGTATTGTTTGGAGCGTGAGAGTATACTATTAATACTATGTAAATTAAAACATGAACTCCTGCTTGTGATGCAAGTATGGTTAAAATTAAAACCTGATTTCAAAGTGATATTCATAGTGTATTACACACAGTTGTTGTGTCAGTGAAGTGTACTGTGTACCACGCGACATTAGACCTATACAGTAGGCTTGCGGGTGCACCATGTGAGAGAGAGGGAGGATTGAGGAGTACTAAAAAGGACTCTCAGTAATCTTTCTTGAGGGTTTGTAGTCCTGAAAAGGACTGTTGGTGTAGTCTTGAATAAGACTGTTTATTATCTTTTTTAGCTTATAGTTCTAAGGAGAACTATAGCGCATTACATGAGACCTTTTACAGTTTGAAAGATTTGAACTGAGCTGTAATGGGGGGAAATCCCTATTCTCAGATAAATATTTATAGATATAGACCGGTAGCGGTAAAATTGTGGTTCAAGGGTTTTGGGTGCAAAATATACATTCAATATTGTTTAAATATTGCCTTCAGAGGTTTAGATAGCAATAGTTCAACCTAAATTTGCTAAAAACCAGAAATATATGCCCAAATGTTCAATGTTGAAGTGCATTCACGATATTTATCCAGGCCGGATCGATATGATGATTTACCAAAAATATCAATAAGCAAGCAGTTTCCCAGCAAAGTTTGTATCATCACGTATTAGTCAAAACATATTCTTTCACATGATTGGTAATAAGAGCTTCGATTTCATGTTTTGAGAGAGGGTGCCTTTTCAAAACTTGTCTATTACCTTTAATCGAAGGAAACTCCCTATTCTGAGGCAAGGCTTCTAGAGTACTAGGTCACATCTTAAAATAGATTTGATCTATTAAATGAAAATCAGAAGCTGAGTGGAAACTGCTTGTATTACACAATTTACAGCTTACTGTCTTTAAGTGCATGTCATGCGATGTTCATTTCATCTTTAGTTTGATATTGTTACATGGGCAAGATGTTACTTTCACATCCTGTGTCAACACCTTCCTCACTTCAGTATCTGTGGGAGACACTTTCCCGGCATTTCTTCCTCTGTATACAAGTTCTGCTAATCATTCCTAGTTTAGAGAAAAAGGCAATGGGTAATTTTGGGTATGGAGAGGGCAGGCAGGGGGTTAACTCTGAACTCTTGTGCTTTACAGTGCGACCCGGAAAAAGCGGAAGCCGAGAATTATTGATGTTTTATCATAACTTAATCACAATTATAATTAATAAATGACACATATTATTTTGTAAAGCTTAGATCCTCCTCTTTCATTTGATGCAACTCATATGATGCATATTTCACGCATGAGTGATTAAAAGCAATTTGAAGGAAGAAAACCAAAAAGTCATTTGGCGGGCGGTATCTGAATTTCAAAGAAAAATTCACATTTCTAGATAGTTTAGTTTCTGCCCTTTCATATGACACCTCAATCAGGAAAAATGAGCCAGGAATAACACAGTTCCGTTTGTTTAAAGAGATGCTTGCATTTCCATAATTTGATATTAAAAGTTCGTTTTCACTGGCTGCCTGCCGTAGCAACAAGCAGAATTGACAAAAGACTCTGTTTCATTGACAATCAGCCATGCATGAAGTATTTCGTCTATGTCTGATCTTCAACGAAAAGGAGTTAAATCTTTTGTCAATTCGTATACCCTATCCCAGCTAGGCACTAACGTCCTTTTACAAGATGTTGGTCTACATTTGCCACTCTCCACCCTCTTGTTAAATAGGGACATGGTAGGATGCGAAAGTCAATGTAAATTGCTCAGCAGTGTCTGTATTTGGCCCCTGGCTGGAATGCTCCCCAAGGAGTGGAGAATGTGCATACATTGTGTGCGGGCAATCCAGAATCCGATGATCGTGTAATGATGTATCTGTAACACATTTTAATAGAGATGTACAGATGTTCATGGATTAAGCACTATATATACACAGCATATTATTGTGTTTAGTACTTGGACTTTGGACTGGTGAGACCTGTGTATTCGTGAACGAAGTGGGAAGTGCTGTCTTGGAGGCGAAAGAGGGAGAGAGTGAAAGATGGGGAGACACATACGGGAAAAGAGAAAGATTCAGAAAAGAAGAGAGGTTCAGTGATAAGAGGAGCAGAGAACAAATAATTAATATATTTTTTAATGTAAAAAAAAGTTAACACGTCCTTATCCCAGCGTAACAATACTGTATTGTGCTGTCAATCTGAAAATCTCTGTAATGTTTTGTAGCTATTGTAACAATGATTTATATCCCACACGGGGTGTTGCCAGTTATACCAACTAGAAAGAATCTTTTTAATCCCAAAACGTTTTCAAATCAATGCGCTACTACCACCTTGGTGGTATTCAAAGGCAGTTACATCAAGACACATTTTCTGTAATTCCTTCGAACATTTTCTTTCTTTCACTAATACGGTATGTAATTGGAAATCTATTTAACAATGTCGTGGACTGTGTTCATGCTTATAATGTTTCAAAAGCAATTATGTGCTGGGTTCTTTCATGGGAGACACAAAGGTAATGAATAGGATGGCCTACTCGCATCCAATGGCATATGTCGGTATTGCATGAAAGAAGGGGATAGGGGTGTCTCCCCCCCCCCACCCTTGTCTTTCGTCTTTCCACCACCTCTCCTGGTTGTATCCATCTTGTGTTTTTGTCCTGATTTCCAGTAACATTTTCATATTAAGCCTTTGTGTTTTTCTAGTTTCTTTTAAACATTTTTAACCAGGTCAGTCATGTGTTTGAGTCGTTAATATATCAACGATATGGTAAATAGTTGGGTCTCTTCACCTGACCGCTACACGACCACCCTCCTCCTCATCCTTATCATCATCACAATTAGCATCATCATCGTCATCATTTTCATCATCATTACCATCGGTAACATCATTTTCATCATCAGCATCACTATGATTGTCTTCACTATCTCTATCATCAACCGGGAGGTCGTGGGTTCGAACCCCGGCCGCGTCATACCAAAAGACGTTAAAAGACGGGAGTTGTTGCTACCTTGTTTGGCGTTCAACAATGGGATAGAGCAACGTCGATCTGGCGCTGCTCAGCAACTGCCGGGCTCACGATCAATAAATATTGGGCAAAAAGAATTTCCATTTTCGGTTTAACTTAATAAAATTTGGAGTGGACTTTAAAAGATTATTATTATTATTATTATTATTATTATTATTATTATTATTATTATTATTATTATTATTATTATTATTATTATTATTATTATTATTATTATTATTATTATTATTATTATTATTATTATTATTATTATTATTATTATTATTATTATTATTATTATTATTATTATTATTATCATCATCATCATCATCATCATTATCTTCAGTATCATTATTATCATCATAATTGGTAGTAGTGGCAGTAATAACAGCGACAGTACTTGGAATAGCAGTAGCAGCACTTTATTAGATAACTTATTTAGCAAAAAGCTAATTTACCACACGGTCTGTCATCCAACCCCATCGTTTTCACTCATTTCCACTTGTATCTGCAACAAGACCACCACTATCATCGGGAGTAATGTTACATATGTCGCCATCGTTGTCGTCATCATCTTCATAATTGATACCGTCATCACCGGTTTAATTATTCTCATCACAACTTGATTACCATCGCTTACTTGCTCATCCAACATTAACAAACAATTGTTTTTGTTTTGTTTGCTTTGATGAAATATTGTGTTTTGCAGTTTAGTTCACAATAATATCGCAATCCTTTCTCTCTCTCTCTCTCTCTCTCTCTCTCTCTCTCTCTCTCTCTCTCTCTCTCTAAGTCATGTTGAGTCGCGCCCACCTCCCCCACCCACCCCCTTTCAATGTTTATCTCGAGATACTAGGGTACCCTAAAATTAAATCCATCCATTAAAAGTTAAAGCTCTTCACTCTTTCTGCATCCTTGGGTAACAAAAGTGAACGAAAATATAAACTCTAAAGCTCAGCTCATTGTGCGGCCCTCTATAGACCTCCGCGGTAACAAAACGATTCCCTCAAATCATGTTACCCATAATTCCTAGGTGTTGATTATTGAATCTAACAGTGCTTAATCCGTCATTAACTTGCTTGCATTCTTCTCCAACACATTCCATTTGCCATTTCTAAAGGTGAAGCCATCCAACTTTTCAGAGTGTCTATTAATGCTTGGAGCAAAGGAAGACCCATCGTATAGAAAAGTATGTTCACATGAGATCTTAAAAACTTCATTCTCAGGGTTTTTAATCCAGCGCCAAGGACTTGCTCCCTTTTCTTCTTAAATCACTTTTTTTGTTGTAAAGAGTCGCATTGCGGTGCATTTTTGTAGCTTGTGAAAGAAAGGTGTGAAAGTATGCTCTCTTTATCGCACCGTAAAACCCATAAATACATTACAGTGTCGCTTGTTAACATTTCAGACATTCTCAAAGTTTAAAGAAAGAGCGCCACTCCATTACAGCCATAATCACCAATCCGCCACTTGCCTTCTCTCACCTAGTTCTATCCTCTTATAATTTTGTTTCATTGCTTTCCTCTCGTCTTTTATATCATCAAAAGCCAATGCTTTTGAAAATATTGATCCTACCCCGAAGGGAAATGGATTTATATACAGCTGGACATTTTAAAAACCAAACAATTTCGGCATTTTTGGTAAACCGTTGATGCTCAGCCGCTAGAAGGGCCCTTTTCTCGTGTTTGAGGTATTAAAGAGGCGCTGTATATACGTGTGGGCTGAATATTTATCCTTGTCATTATAATGAATGGTTACTGTGTCTTGATAATAATGCTTGTGAGGTAGGTTTGTATTGATAGGTAAGATGTTTGTGGCTGAGGGCGATACACCTGTGCTTTCATTACGGATTGACTCTTTCTCTCTTTCTCCCTTAGCACTCGTACTCCGACCTCTCCATTCTCATGTATCTTATCCCTGCTTTTCTTCGCCCATCTCTCTCTCTCTCTCTCTCTCTCTCTCTCTCTCTCTCTCTCTTTCTATCTCTGTATATAAATATATATGTAATCTCCATCCCTTTCCCTCATTTCTCCTACAAACTCTCCCATCTGTATCCTACCCCCTCCATTTCTCCCCTACCCCCCCCCTTTCCC